GGGGCAGGGGCTACCGGGGGAGAGGGAGCAAGGAACAGGGGGGGGAACTGGGAGACCTCGGTGAGGGAAGCGGCGGTAAAAGGAGACGGACTCGTCAAAGGTAACGTCACGAGAGTGGAGGAAGCGGTGAGACGGCGGGTGATAGAAAAGCCAGTCAGACGAGTCCAGGGGGAAACCGAGGAAGACACAGGGGACAGTGCGGGCAGTGAGCTTGTCCGTGCCAGAGGCACGAACGTGAGCAAGGCAGCCCCAGACGTGGAACGCAGACGCGTCACCGGGGACCCGGTCCAAAGAAGGGTCGGCGAAACCTGCGGCCGCTGGGAGCGTGGCCACAGGTTAAGCTGGTGAGCAGCGTAGCGAACAGCGAACGGCCACAGAAAATGGGGGGCATCGGCATGGATCATGGAGGTGCGGGCGACCTCCATGACCAAGCCGATGCGGCGCTCAGCAACCCCATTCTGCTGTGGCGAGTCCGGCAAGGTGTACGACTGGGTGATGCCCTCCGCACGACAGAACTGTCCAAGCCGACCAGAGGCGAACTCGCCGCCACGGTCGAAGTGGAGACACAACACGGGGAGACCGGCGGTGGAGACGCGCAGCCACAACCCATCGGGAGAAGAACGTCGGGCACGTCGGCCTTCCGCTCCAGGGGAAACACCGTGGTGTAGCGCGTGTAGTCCGTCGACGAGCACAAGGAAGTAGCGCTCACCGCGCGGTCCCGGGGACGGGGGCAGGGCCCCAAACGTCCAGGTGCAGGGTCTGAAGGGGGGCAGTAGCCGGGCGGCAGCGAGGAGGAGTGAGGGGCACGGCGGAGCCGGCCTCGACGCAAGGCGTGCACGGTGGCGCAGTCGAGGGAGGAAGGGCGGGGAGCGACACAGGGAGACCTAAGACAAGGCCGTGCTGGGACATGTGACGCAGACGAGGGAGAGCAGGGTGACCTAAGCGGTGGTGCCAGAGAAGGGACGGGTGAGTGAGGGAACGACACGAGCAAGCTGCAGCAACCTGGGAGGACGCACCAACCGGAGGGGAGGCGGTGTCTAGGGTAAACAGACCGGACACCGGGTCCCTGGGGAACGTCGCAAGGGGGGAACCTGAGACAGCCTCAGAACAGACAGCGAACCGCTCGTGCCCGGGGAACGTGGTGGTGACGCCGAGGTCCTGGAGACAGCCGACACCAACCAGGTTCCTCGAGAATGAGGGAACGTGGAGGCCTGTAAGGGAGCCCGAGGGAACGGCTGGACAGGGAAGGGACGTAGAACTGCGAGCGACGACAGGACCCGCAGAGGGGTCGGCGAGAGAGACGACAGCTGGCGTAGCAAGCGGCGTAAGTGCGGAACGGTCGCGGAAGAAGCAGGCAGAAGCACCGGAGTCGAGAGTGAAGGACAGCGCAGCAGTGGCAGGGGCGGGGAACGGAGCCGGTGCAGAGACGAGGCTAGACAAACTAGGCAGTCCTACGCCTGACGCAGCAGGGGAGGCTAGGCTACACAACGGTGCAACACCTAAACTAGAGAACACAGGATAATAAGATCCAGCAACACTAGAAGCGTCAGAATACATGGCATGCAAAGCAGCACCTATCTGATCCATGTCTAACTCAAAGATCGGCACGCCCTGGCGGAGCAGGCTGTGCCAGTCTGGGAGGTCCGGGGCCGGGCCAAAGCGACGACGAAACAGATCGTCGAGGCGGCGGAAACAGCGGGCAGTCGGGTGCGGGCGGCGGCACAGAGTGCCGCGAAGGGGCCCGGTCTGAAGCTGGTACTGACAGGTGACAGCACCGGAGCCGCTGGTAGACGCCAAGCTGCGCGGGCCGCCACCACTGCCACCACCCCCTGAGGAGCCGGGCCAACCAGGCGGGAGGCGAGCCCACTGCTGCGGGGGCTGCGGCTGGGACGGCGGCTGCTGCTGGGACGGCGGCTGCGGCGCGGGCTGCTCCTGCTGCGGCTGGGGCTGCTGCTCCTGACCACCAAGGCTAGTCCCCCCAGACGGACTACTCTCACGACCACCAGCACCACTACCTGCACCACCACCCCTACCACCCTGGCGACCACGGCCACCGCGGCGCGAGCGCTGCTGCGGGTGGACCGCAGCAGCCGTCTCGGTGAGAGGGGTCGCCGTGGCGACCGCAGCCGAAACGTCAGTGAACGTGCACTGGGAGGGGGCACAGCCGTGAAAGATAGAGACTGCCGGCGCACCGCTCGACTGAGCGATAGTGCGCTGGCGAGTCTCGATCTCGGTGAGGGTGTCGACAAAGGCAGTGAGAGTGAGGTCAGCCGGGTGCAGGCTAAGGAAGTGATCGCGAGCACTAGCGAGGCGGTCTGGCAGGCGCATGGCAATAAAGTAGAGCGTCATGCAGAAAGGGGGGGGGAGCGCAGTGAGCTGGGCAGTAGTGCTGGCAGTGCGATAGCGGGTCTCTAGAGCACGCAGGTGATTGGCAAAGTCTGCGACGGTAGGGAAAGCTGCAAGGTCTGGGAAAAGCATTGGTAAGAGCAGGCGACCAGCAGAAGCAGACGCGGGTGTGGAATAGCGGGCAATAACAGCGTCTAGGTAAGCTTGGCGTCTCAATAGTAGCAAAATGCGAGCGCTCAGAGACAGGAAGGCATGGCTAATGGCGACCTGAGCGACTGCATCGCGGGAGTCCCAGACCGCACGGGCAAGCGCAGCAGTAGAGAAGGTCCACGGTCATCAGGAGGATCAGCAGGGAGGGGGGGCAGGACAGGGGGGCGGGGGAGCAAGCCGTCAACATGGACAACCAAAGAGTGGCCATCCTGACGCTGACCTGTGAGGTGGCGGCGGAGATCGGAGAGCCAGGCGGCGAAGTCAACCGCATGGCCCTCGGCGTCCAGTCGGAGCACGAAGTCCGCCATCGTGCAGGGTCCGCGGCACAGCTCCACAGGAACTCAGCTACAGCCCCCTCCAGCACAGTGGCCACGAAGCGCCTCAGCACGGGCGAGCGGAGGAGACGGAGCCCGAGGCGGCACAGCAGGACGGCCGGGCGAAAGGGCCAGGCAGGTACGGTGGGGCCAGGCAGGCACGGAGGGCCAACAGGCGCGGCGGCCAGTCAGGGGCGGCGGGGCCAGGAGGCACGGTGGGGCCAGAAGGCGCGGCGGGCCAGGCAGGTGCGGTGGGCCCAGGTAGGTGCGGCAGGGCCAGGCAGCGCGGCGGGCCAGTCAGGGCGGCGGGCCAGGAGGCGCGGCAGGGCCAGGCAGGCGCGGCGGGCCAGGCAGTGCGGCGGGGCCAGGCAGGCGCGGCGGGGCCAGAGGCGCGGCGGGGCCAGGCAGGCGGCGGGGCCAGGCAGGCGGCAGGGCCAGGCAGGGCGGCGGGGCCAGAAGGCGGCGGGGCAGGCAGGCGCGCGGGGCCAGGCAGGCGCGGCAGGGCCAGGCAGGCGCGGCGGGCCAGCAGGGGGCGGGGCCAGGAGGCGCGGCGGGCCAGGCAGGGGCGGCGGGGCCAGGAGGCGCGGCAGGGCGCGAGGCAGGCGCGGCGGGGCCAGGAGGCGCGGACGGGCTACAGGCGGCGAGAGGGCCCAGGAGGGGCGGACGGGCTAGGGGCGCGCAGGGGCCCAGGAGAGGGGCGCGACGGGCTAGGAGGCGCAGGGGCCCAGGAGGGGCGCGACGGGCTAGGAGGCGCAAGGGGCCCAGGAGGGGGCGACGGGCTAGGAGGCGCGCAGGGGCCCAGGAGGGGCGCGACGGGCTAGGAGGCGCGACAGGGGCCCAGGAGGGGCGCGACGGGCTAGGAGGCGCGAGGGGCCCAGGAGGGGCGCGACGGGCTAGGAGGCGCAGGGGCCCAGGAGGGGCGCGACGGGCTAGGAGGCGCGGCAGGGGCCCAGGAGGGGCGCGACGGGCTAGGAGGGCGACAGGGGCCCAGGAGGGGCGCGGCGGGCTAGGAGGCGCAATAGGGGCCCAGGAGGGCGCGACGGGCTAGGAGGCGCGGCAGGGGCCCAAGAGGGGCGCGACGGGCTAGGAGGCGCGATAGGGGCCCAGGAGGGGCGCTAAGGGGCCTAGGTGGGGGCGGCGCGACGGGGCCTAGGTGAAAGCGCGACGGGGCCTAGGAGGAACGGGCGGAAGCGGTAGGTGGGGGGGGGTCGAACCTATGGGTGATACCATATCAAAAGAAAAACTGAATGATTGATAGAGGGAGAGAACAAGGGTATATAACCTAGAGGTTTGTACCCTCTAAGAGGTGACCCTATACAGTCTATACAAATATGAGTTATACATATATTTGATAAGCGGAACTGTAAAAATGCATGCTACTTCCTGGGTAGAGTTGGAAGTGGCGAATACTTATTTATAGTCCCCATAAATAGGTTTCATCAGACTTTTATTTAACCTAAAAAATCTCCCTCGGATTTCGTCTGCAACATGTTCTGTACCATTCTCAGTCACGACTGTAGATGCATGCATTATTTATAGTGTATTCGTCTCCCAAAAAAAGTTCTGTACCATTCTGCCGCTCCCGTCATTTGTACCCGAATTTCTGGGCAGTTGGTCCCGCGATTGTGGCATCTTGCTGCTCACGTCAAACCTGCAGTCCCACGCATGCGCGCCTCGTCCGAGTGGCCCGAATACACTTCGCCATATTCTATGAGAATCGCGGGACAAATGGGACTAAAATAAGCAGAAAAGGCTTCGACATGTAAAGTGCATAATTGTGCCATGTCTTTACGCTAAATTGCAAAAGTGAGCCACATTGAATACACGCTGTGGTACGTTGTGAGTGAAATCGAAGTTGGCCCCTGCAAGTGACTTCTGGAACTTGTCGAGCCTCTCCCTTTTTTACACGTGACGTTGTAGGATTGGGGAGTTGGCCGTCCAGGGAGTTCTTCCCTCGTATGGGAGGAAAGTGCGAGTGGCGGGAGGGGGTGCCGTGGAGTGGCGGAAAAGGGCGCGCAGTTGATGCTTGGTTGGAGCAGAAGAGACGAGATCCAGACCAGAGTCCCTTCCCCCTTGCCCCTGCATTTGTGCGTCTCACCGCTCACCTCATGCACTACCACTCTCGTCGGATCTCAACTCTCTGCTCATCAGTTCACTCCTGCTGCTGGATCATTCTCGGCCAGTGTGCATCTCAAGACCGAACTACGTCCTCCTCCGTTCACAGCTGCAGTTGCCCCTTGACCCGCTCACCCTTGTCGTCGTGCTCCGTATCTGTGCCCAGCAAGCGCGGCAGTTCAGTCCTCAACCTTGGCCCGTTCCCGTCGCTATCCAAGTCTGAGTCGCGCTTTGTAGGAAGGTGTCCATCTGCGATCGTGTCGCTTTTTATCCCGCTTTACCTATGTGGAGTGAAGTCGTTTGGTAGAGAAAAGGCTACGTGCAATCTTAGCAAGCGATTTCTTTTGTTTGAAGTCGGCTGCTGCGTCTTGCTGAGCGGGATCGCAATCCCGCATTGGAATTCACGGCAGGGAGACACTAGCGGTGCTGGCGTTGCATGCACAGCCATTTCCCCACAGCCTCGCGTCTCTCGTAGCGCCACTGCTCTCCCAGGGCTCAGCATCCCCTCCGCCTCCGCGCCGCTCCGCCCATCGCGTCGCATCACCCTCTTTCCCCCCGTGGCGCCATGGACGTGGGCTTTCTAGAAGTGAGTGCCGCCGGCAGCCTGTCGGATGGGAATTGCGGGTGCGGGAAACTATTGTCGTCGCGTTCCGGCTGCTATGCGCGCTCCTTATCGCGCGGACGCTCTCGGTTCACCAACCCATACCGGATACCTTTTCTGCCGTCCCGCCGTGTGCGTGCGTGCGGTGCGTGTGCGCAGGGGCTGGTGAAGGCGGGCAGCATGATCCTCGTATCTGAGATAGGCGACAAAACCTTCTTCGTCGCTGCGGTTAGCTCCCGCCCTCCCCCCTCCGCCCTGCTCCCGTGCCATGCACAGCCATCGCCCTTGGCGCGCTCTTGCACGCGTGCTTTCTAGTACTCTGCTTAGAGATACTTTCCCATTCCCTCGCTGCTCCTGGCCTGTCGTCTCGACTCGCCTCATTCAAACTTCCCTCCCACCTCTTCCGCTTCTTCTCGCTCATTGCCTCCACGGCTCTGCTTCCACATCCTCTCCTCTACTTCTACTTCCCCACACCCCCCACCCCCCCTCCCCCCTCCCTCCTCCCCCCTCTCCCCTCCCGCCTCAACCCTATTTCCTCTCCCCTGTCCCCTGTCCCTCCCTCCTCTCCCCTCCCCCTGTCCCCTCTCCCCCCCCTCCCCCAGCTCTTGGCCATGCGGCACCCGCGGCGCTGGGTGCTGCTCGGCTCGCTCTCTGCTCTGTGGGTGAGACGCGCGGGTTGCGACGGGTGGGGGGGGAGGAGGGGATGGGCGGGGGGGGTTGGGGTGGGGGGATGGGTGCTCTGGGTCGTTGCATGTGGCATGGGCGCATGGGCACATGACGGGCATGGACACACTGTCGACGTCATTGAGCTGGCATAGCCGTTCATGTGGCCAGATGTGCGCCATGCATGGCGTGGTGTGGGGCATGCATCATGGCGTGGGGCATGCATCATGGCGTGGGGCATGCATCATGGCGTGGGGCATGCATCATGGCGTGGGGCATGCATCATGGCGTGGGCGTGCATCATGGCGTGGGGCATGCATCATGGCGTGGGGCGTGCATCATGGCGTGGGGCATGCATCATGGCGTGGGGCATGCATCATCATGGCGTGGGGCGTGCATCATGGCGTGGGGCGTGCATCATGGTGTGGGGCATGCAGCGTGATTTGATGAAGTCCTTCCAGCAACTGCCTCGTGAAGTGGGTTCGCCATATGGAAGCAGCAGCGCTCATGCGTTGCGACGCGCCCTTCTGCTGGGTGACAGAGGTGCATAAGGCAAGCGTTGCCACAGCGCCGTACAACGACTGCCCACTGCCCATTCGCCTTCTCACCGCGTCTCTGCGTTGTGCTGCGATGCTGTGATGGTATGGCATGCAATGGTGGGTGCAGGTGATGACAATACTCTCCTCGCTCTTCGGCTGGGCTGCTCCCACCCTTGTAAGCTGCACTCGTGCATCCCTGCGGGCTCGTGCTGCTTGCATGCCACCATACGTGCACTGTGCACTGTTGCTATGGCTGCTGCCCACTGCATGCATGGAATGCCTGCACGCTGACTGCCATGCGCTGTCAGCCTTTCCTTGTGTCTCTCCCTCCTATGTTGCATTGCTCTTGCCTTCCTTCCTCCCCTGCTCTTCGACTGACCGTCACCTCTTCTCCTATCTGCGCCACCCTCGTCTCTCAGCTGCCGCGGGCGTGGACGCATGTGTGCACGACGCTGCTCTTCTTCCTCTTCGGCCTGCGCTCTCTCTGGGACGGACTCACAATGGACGCCTCCAGGTGCGTCTCCCCCTCCCCCCCCTTTCGTCCCCCGCACATCTCCCCGCCTCTGCTGAATGTGGGTGCCTGTTGGGGATGATGTGAGGTGCCTCGGTGCTGAGTACTGCTCGCCTGTGCTCTTTTCCCTGCCCACCGTGCCGTGTGTGTGCGCCCCTGCTGCAGGGCGTCGGACGAGCTAAAGGAGGTGGAGCAACAATTGGTAACCACTCATGCCCGCCGCCTGCTGCTGCTCATCATTTGCTGCAGTTACTGCGGTTAATTTGCTGCTCCCGCTGCTGTTTAGATCGCTGCCGCTGCTGCTGTTAATCGCTGCTGCAGCTGCTGTTTATTTGCTGCTGCCGCAGATGCTGCGATTTTTTCCTGTTCCACTGCTGCTGCTGCTGTCTCTCCTCTTCATTCGTCCGTCTTCCATTCCGACCTTTGCACCCCCTGTCCGCCCTCCCCACTCCTGCCACCCTCATTGCTGGCAACTGGCGTGCCCTGTGCGCTCCCTGCATGCTGTGGCCAGGACAAGGCCACCATGGCTGCTGCCACTGCACGCGCCCATCCCGCGTGCCACAGCACCAGCATCGCCACACGAGGTATTCCACCACCCCCACTCGCCACTCCGTCCTCTCCTCCTGCCTCTGCTTTTGCCGTTCCACTCCAGGCCTCGTTCCCTCCGCCCCCCCGGCGCTTCTTCCCCATGTAGCTCCACGTGCCTTCACGCCTTGCGCTCCCCCCACTGCCATTCCTCTGCCCTCCGTTTCGGCATGCACATGACAATCCTCTGCTTTCTCCCAGTGGCCCCTGAAACCGCGTCGCTAACTCTCCCCGTGGCTCCTCTCTGCTGGCAAGACCAACGGGTTCAAGGCGCGGGGGCAGGAGGAGCGCAGCAGACAAGGTGCGCGGGGGGCGGAGGAGGAGGAGAGCAAGCACGACAAGGCCAGCAGACTAGCTCTGCGCCGCCTCCTCTCCCCAGCATTCGTACAGGTCACCACTCCTCCCCTCCTAACTGCGCCCCCACTTCCTTCCCCGCCCCACACCCCACACCCCCCCCCTCCCCCTTAGGTTCCACGTCGAATGTTTGTGATCCTCGTGCCTCGTTGCCCCATCGCCCTTCCCCCTTACCACCGCGGGGCCTACGAGCTGCATGCATGGGTAGTGCTCAGTAACCCAGCATTCCATGGCGGGCCCACAACCTGCTCTCCATCCCGCCGTGCCTCTTCCCGTGCCCCACGTGCAGGCCTTCTCCCTGGTGTTTCTCGGGGAGTGGGGCGATAAAAGCCAGGTCAGTGCTGGGGGGGGGGAGAGGGAAGGGGTGAATGCATGTCGTGGTGCTGAGGCTGGCCTCGCCCGTGGCTGCATGGCTGTGAGTGCATGGCTGTGAGTGCATGGCTTTGTGTGCGTGGTAGTGGGTGCATGGGTGTGGGTGCATGGGTGTGGGGTCATTGGCCGATGGCGATTATGGCATTAGTTCGTACTGATGTCAGTTTCCTCGGCATTTGCTCCGTGCCCGTCCCATGCCATGAGCCCTGCCGTCCAGCCCCTCACAGAGCCGTCTTGCCACCTGCCGGTGCGCACCCATGGCCGGTGTCCTCCATGCGCTCCCCGCCCGTCCGCGCCTGAACCACGTCTGTTAGCTGCATGTGTGCACATATTGTTTGTCCGTGTATGCCTTCGTGTTTGCGCGTGTGTGTGTGTGTGTCTGTGCACGTGTGTGTGTGTGTGTGCGTGTGTGTGCATGCGTGTTTGTGTGTTTGTGTGTGTGTGTGTGTGTGTGTGTGTGTGTGTGCTTGTGTGTGTGTGCATGTGTGTGTGCGTGCAGTTGGCAACAATAGGCCTAGCATCAGAGGCCAGTGTGTGGGCGTTGCCATCGGTGGTTGCCTGTGCGTTTTCTGCCCCTGCTCTCCCATGACCCTCTCTGTGCCATCCCCTTCTGTTTTGCATGCACAGCATCGCAGTCGATATCGCATGCCCATCAATCCGTTCAGCATCACCTTGCTCCTTGTTTCTGCGCAGCAGCAGCACGTCATGGCCATGCTCATATCATTCCTTCTCCCCTGCCATTTGTCAACCCCGCTCTTCTCCCTGCCATTCCCCCCCACTTCAGAGGCCATGCTGTGTGCTCGGGAGCAGCGGTGATGGGAGGGCGGCACCTGGCGTCACGAATATCGGAGCGCACGGTGAGGGGGGAGTGCACGGAGAGGGAATGGTGAAGGGTGGAGGATGGAGGGGATGGGATGTTGGAGAGGTTGTTGTGGGGTGTGGGGCCAAGGGAAACCTTGCTAGCGTATTGGGTTTTGCCACCCAGCTTTTCTGTGCGTCGCCTGCTGTGCCTTTGGGCAAACCCCTGAGTGCTTGCTGTCACTCCCCTGTCAGAAAAGTTGCTCTTTGGCCGTTGCTGTATCCCCCTTCTTGCCGCACTGTGCACCTCAATTCACTGTCTCATCTGGCCCCTCTGCTTGTTCCCCCTGCGTGTGGTGCTTGCAGGTTGCACTGTGCGCCGGCGTGCTGTTTCTTCTCTTCGGCTTGCAAGCCCTGCTGCACGGCAGCACGGGCTCCTGAAGTACCACATGGCACAGCAGTGAGCCATGGCGCTACTATATGCTGTCGCGAATTCGCAACTGGCAGGCTGTGATGGATTCATGCCTGTCAAATGCTTGTTTGCTAAGCGCGTCCGCCATCTATTCATGAGTACTACCAGTACAAGGCTTTTCCATTCCCCACGCCACGATATCCTTCAATACGCTTCCAAGCCCACCCTTGCGTACAAAAGTAACCAAGATAAAGCTCCCGCTCCTTAGGGGGGTGTTCAAAGTAGTGCACAGAACTCGGGGAAACGATGCCATTGGGTGGCCACAGACATGCTCATATTCCCATTTCAGTTTGTCATATACCTGTTTCAATCTGCACGGCTAATAACGTATTTCTCAGCCGCATGTTATGGCGGTGATTGGATCAGTTAATACTGCAATCGATTCTGTAGCACTACCCCCAGCCTGCCAATTCAGCCACAGATTTTCCGAACATCACTGATTTCAGATTTGCCCGTCGTGGTCAATCTGTCATTGTTGTTGCCTTCGCGTGAAGTCAACACAAGTCTCGAGTATTATTCTCCTCGTGTCGTCTTATCTTCTGTTCACGCCATGTCTTTCCTATTACCTGCGCGAATCCTTCGCCTCCTTCTGTCGTTGTGCGTGCTGTTACCACTCGCCGCGTTCGCGAAGAAGCCGAACGTGATCCCGGGCGGCGTGCAGGACATCGCGGACTTCGCGAACCGGCAGGACGTGCAGGGGCTGGCGCTGTACGCCGTGCAGCAGCACAACGAGAAGGAGGTGCGGCGACGGGACACCCGGAACGCAAAGGAGCTTTCAGGGGGCGGGAGGGGGCGGGAGGGGGCGGGAGGGGAGAGGGCGAAAAAGGGTGGTCGTGTGCAGGGGAAGTGGGACGGGTGGGGTTGGGGGGGGGGTGGGAGAGGAGGGGATGTTAAGTCGTTACGTGGTCGCGCCATACGGCGCCGTGCTCCGTCACGCCACGGCGGGGCCACGTGCAGTGCAGCGGTTGCCGTTTCTCATCCCTGCCGTCCACCGCCCTCGTCCGCCCCCCACTCCGCCCACAGCTGCCCGCGCGCCAACGCCTCCTCCCACTCGCTGCTCTCTCCGCCCGCCGCTGCCTCCACCATCCGCCATGCCCAACCCCTCCCGTCGCCGTGCATATCTCCCCCTTCCCTCCCCCCTCCGCTCCCTCCCCCCCCCCCCCCACCCCTCTCGGTTGCAGGGCGCGGACCTGCACCTGGTGCGCGTGGAGGGCGCGCAGCAGCAGGTGGTGGCGGGCATTCTCTTCCACCTCACGCTGCTCGCCACGTCACCCTCGTCTGGCCGCACAGCGCAGTACCGCGCGACAGTGTGGGAGCGCGCGTGGCAGCACTTCCGCGCGCTGCAGGCCTTCGCGTCCTTGCCCGACTCCGACCGCCCCGCCACACCCGCCGAGCTGCGCGCCGCCAACGCTGCTGCGCTGGACGCAGCCGGTGCTGCTGAAGCTGCAGCCGCTGGGGCCGGTGGTGGTGGTGGTGGTGGTGGTGGTGGTGGTGGTGGTGGTGGTGGTGGTGGTGGTGGTGGTGAGGTCGAGGGTGGGCGTGGGGCAGAGGACAAGGCGGCGAGGGAAGGAGGTGAGGAGCAAGGCGTGGCAGCAGCAGAGGGCGTGACACAGGGCACGTGCAGCAGCATGCAGGGAGAAGGTGTGCGCGCATGCATCATGCCTGCCTGCTTGATGCGTCCTTGCAACATGCATGCATCATGGCTGCCTGCTTGATGCGTCCTTGCAACATGCATGCATCATGGCTGCCTGCTTGATGCGTCCTTGCAACATGCATGCATCATGGCTGCCTGCTTGATGCGTCCTTGCAACATGCATGCATCATGGCTGCCTGCTTGATGCGTCCTTGCAACATGCATGCATCATGCCTGCCTGCTTGATGCGTCCTTGCAACATGCATGCATCATGCCTGCCTGCTTGATGCGTCCTTGCAACATGCATGCATCATGCCTGCCTGCTTGATGCGTCCTTGCAACATGCATGCATCATGCCTGCCTGCCTGCTCTCTGGCTCGCTACTCGTCTGTCTCCTCAGGCGAATCAGAGGGCGTATGAGCTCTCACGCCCCTCGCCTCGCACTTCCTTTCTCCTTCCCCGTTTGGACCCTCCTCTGCCGTTTGTCCGTCTCTGCTTGCACTTGCCACCCATGCTCCATTGCCACTCGAACGCACCGCTGGCCTGCACACATCGTCCTGCCCCTCTTCCCACGCACGTGCGCTATCTCCCTCCCATCCATACGTGCCTCGTACGCTGCCCGCTGCTCCTGCCTGCTGTGCGCCTTGCCCATGACCCGCCTGCGTGCACGTGTCCCATGGATGTGTGCCTCAGGATCCCCTTCTTGCCTGCAACCCCTCTCCCCCCCTTCCTCACCCCAGCAGGCAGCGCGCATTCGTCCACACATCCATCACCCGCAGTGCTAGAGGCAGCAGAGCGCGCCACGTCAGCGCTGCAGCAGCGGTCCAACTCGCTCTTCCTGTACCGCCTCAAGGAGGTCGTGGCTGCTCTCGCCACGGTACAATTGGAGCAACGCCGTGGGGCTGGGGGTGGGACTGGCGTGCGGTTGCGGGTGGTTTGTGTGAAGGGTTGAGGTTGTTGGTTTGCTTGGGTGGCGCACATGGGTGGATGTGTGGATGCATGCAGTGGTAGATGCATGCAGTGGTGGATGCATGCAGTGGTGGATGCATGCAGTGGTGGATGCATGTGCCACATGCATTCGGCTCTGTTCCCATTCAGGTGCGTGTGTGGGTCGCCATGTAAACTCGCTTCAAGCGTGGATGGCTTGAATCATTGCGCCCGTGTCTCGCGCGCGCCTCATCTGCCGCACTGATCAACCCCTGTCAACGCATGAAGCATTGCGTTTGGTTCACGCCCAGGTGCCAGCATGGTAGTTCATGTCTCGCCCTTACCTTCCATTGTGTTTCTCGCCATGCTTCCACATCCCCTTATGCAGCCGGGCTCCGCCTCCTCCCCTGCGCAAGGCACAATGGTGTTCCAGCTGACGCTGCGGCTGCAGCGCGAGGTGCCCGCGCACATGCATCAGGCGGGGGTGGGCGGCACTCTGCCGGACGAGCTGTACGAGGTGGACCTGCTGCACTCCGCCAACGGCCAGTGGTCCCTGCGCAAGGCCGTCGCCCTGCAGTGACGTCCTAGCATGCATGCACTCGCCTCTTGCCTCGTATCACGACCCACACCGCACGTTCCCGCTTGCCACTGCTGCTGCTCCTGGTTAGGTAGCGCTGCACCTTTGGCTGTGTCGGAACAGTCTAGGCAGGAGTTGAGAGAAATTTGGGCTGTAAGTGGTTGGTTCTTGACGTCCTCCATCTAGTTGGCAATGCCGTTGCTGGCGATCCAATCCGGCACCAAATAGATGCCCATCTGAATGGCAATGCCAGTGTGATTGTTGTGACCGTGAGGAGGACTAATCATTCTCATTCGAAGCTTATGTTTGAGTTCCTTTCTATCTAGGGGCTGCCTAAAGACTACCTGACAAAAGTGTATCGTGTTGAGGACAGGGAGGCAAGCAGCGACTCATTCAAGCCAGTAGGACAAAATCCATTTGCATGCCCTTTATCAGAATGAATAATAAGTAGAATGGGGAGATACAAGGGAATATAGATTGGTGAGCTGTACCCACTAAGGCACAAACACATATAATCTACAGTAACTGCATATAAGTTATGTTTGACACACCCCCTAGACTATATAGGAGCAGTGCCTAACAAGGGAAGAAGCAGCTCAGGGCGGCACTACTAGTCCAGCCTCTGAGACAAGGGTCTAAAGACCAGTCACTAGGAGTACAGACAAGGCAAGAGCAAGACCAGGGCGGCACTACTAGTCCAGCCACTGGGAGAGGCCACAAGGCCAGTCAAGGAAAAATATATATACAAAGGACAGTACAAAGTCAAGGCCCTAGCAAGTGAGAGGCTACAGGAACGAGACCTAACTGTACACAGTGCCGCTGATGATCTTTAGGTGCAAGCGCCTTCGTAAAGATATCAGCTGTGTTGGCACCAGAGGCCAAGTGTACTACGCGCGCCTGGCGGCGCTGCTGGAGCTCACGCAGGAGGAAGTACTGCAGCTGGATGTGCTTCGCTCGGCCCTCGAGTCGAGGCTCCTGACACAGGAGGATCATGGCCCTGTTGTCAGCGTACAGGACCGGGGCAGAGCTAGGCCGCTCACCTAAGTCAGTGAGCAAGAAGGTCAGCCAGCGGAGCTCCTGTGCCGCCATGGCACCGGCGTAGATCTCGGCCTCACAGCTGGACTGGGCAACAGACGAGGAGTGGGTAGCTTCCATGAGACGGCACCTGAACCAAGGCTAAAGCAGTAGCCCTGCGAGGACCTGAGGGTCTCGGTGTCGTCTGCCCAAGAAGCATCTGTGTGTCCAGTAAGGACCACTGGCCTGCATCCTCCTAGCACTAACCCCATGCCGGATGTACATGCAAGATAACGCAAAACCCTCTTAGCGGCAGACCAGTGCTGAGGTCGGTGTCCGCATGTAGCCACAAAGCGAGCCAGGATGCTGAGAGGGTATGCGAGATCTCGGCGAGTGCAAGTCATCAGGTACATGAGGCAACCCACCAGCTCTGCGTAAGGACCACTAGGCTCTGCCGACTCCTCAGGAACTGGAGCGGAGAGCCTGTGGTCTAGAGGCAGAAGAGTGGGCTGTGCGGAGGAGAACTGAAGGTCGAACCTCTTAAGGACCTGGCGCACCAACTGTGACTGAGTAAAAGTGATGGTGCGCACTGCTCTGTCCCAAGAGATCTGCAAGCCAAGGTAGTGGCGCGGTTCTCCAAGGTCAGTGAAGGTGTGTCTCTTCAGCAGCTTTGCCTTCACGGCGGCCAGTGCGACCCTGTCTGCCGTGGCGAAGACCACGTCGTCTACGTAAACAAGGATGTAGAACGGGGTCTGGCCAGCACGAGCAAAGAGCGAGGGGTCTGCAGAGGATGGAAAGAACTGCAGGTCAGCAAGCGTAGCACGCAGCGTGTTGTGCCACTCACAGGGAGCCTGCCGCAGGCCGTAGACGGGGCGCTGTAGGAGCCACTGGGTCCTAGGAGGGAAGGTACCAGTGAAGCCCTGAGAGCAGCGCAGGTAGACCTGCTCGTGTAGACTGCCTTGAAGAAACGCAGTGGAGAAGTCGAGGGAGTGAAGCTCGTAGTCACGCAGAGCTGCTATGTGTAGCAGCACCTGAAGAGTAGTCATCTTTGGGGCCGGAGCGAAGGTCTGAAAGAAGTCCACCCCCTCACGCTGACTGAAACCTGTAGCCACATAGCGCACCTTGAACACAAGCGGCTCTCGAGGAGGGCGCTTCACCTTGAAGAGCCAGCGGCCATCGACTACGTTCACCCCAGGTGGGGGAACTGTGTCGACATAGGTGCCGGTGGATCTCCAAGATGCCATCTCCTGCTCCATGGCAGCTATCCACTAAGAGGCCCAGGGTCCCGAGACTGCCTTAGCGTACGTGCGAGGGGTCGGGATGTCGAAAGCGTCGGGGTCACCCTCAGGGACTTGAAGCATAGAGCAAAGATGGGGAGCAGCCTCGGACAGGAAAGCAAGCTTGTACTGGCGGTCCTCCAGGACGTCATTGCCGAGGGCAGGAGCACCCACAACAGATGGAGGACAGGCAGGGTCAGAGACCAGAGCGGCGGCGTAGTCAAGGCGCCAGGTAGAGGCGAATTCAACGACCGCAGCTACAAGGGCGTCAAGACTCGAAACCAGAACAGACGGGTCGGTAACGAGAGAGGCAAGGACCCGAAGAACAAGAGGACGAGCGGCACGCAGGTAGTCAGACAGAGGGGGGGGAGCAATGACAAGGAAGGACGGAAGGGGCGACGGGAGAAGGGGAGGACGAGACGCGTGGGAACGTAGCAACATAGGGTGAGAGTGCGAGACAGGGGAGACAGGTCGAGCACGGGAGGGACGGTGAGACCAGACGTGAGACGGAGGAGTCGGGTCAGGAGACAGAGGAGGGGACACAAGAGGGGAACGAGGGGGGAAACGAGCCAGAGACGAGTCCGGAGAAGGGAACACAGGGCCGTAGACAGGAGGAGGCACAGGCACGAGGTCAGGGGACGCAAGGCCGAGCAGGCGAATTGCGGACACCGACGGGGACTGCTGCAGCGGCGATGTGACACCAACACTGGGACCGCAGCTGTCTGGCGGCGCCCTCCAGAACACTCCACGCCAGCACCCCCAGAAGAAACACCCCCAGAGCTCAGAACCCCTCGAGCACCGGTACCACCCCCAGGCCCGCTGGGACAAGCCACGACATGAGTCCCAGGACTAGTACCCACCCCAACTCCAGCACCCCCAGAGGCAACGAACTGCGGCGGCGACGGCTGCGGCGCCGGCGGCTGCAACGAGGGCTGCGGTGGCGGCGGCGGCGGTGGGGGCGACGGCTGCGACAGCGGTGGCGACGGTGGCTGCGGAGGTGGCGAAAGAGGAGACACCTGAGAAGGGGCAGGCGGCGAGGACTGCGCCGCCGGACCACCAGAGTCAGCAGACTCCTCAACCGGGACAACCGACTGAAGTGGGGTGACGTGGGACACACCAGAGGGGGCAGGACGGGGAGGGGGAGGAGGAGGGGCGGCGACGACCGGGGTAGGGGTAACCAGGAACAGGGGGGGGGTAACCGGGGGACCTCGGTGGGGGAAGCGGCGGAGGTAGGAGACGGACTCGTCAAAGGTGACGTCGCGGAAATGAAAGAAACGGTGAGACGGCGGGTGGTTGAAGTGCGATTCAGATGCGTCAAGGGGGAAGACGAGGAAGACACAAAGCAGAGTGCGGGCAGTAAGCTTGTCCGTGCCAGAGGCACGAACGTGAGCAAGGCAGCCCCAGACGTGAAACGCAGACGCGTCACCAGGGGACCCAGACCAAAGAAGGGTCGGCAAAACCTGAGGCTGCTGGGGGTGCGGCCACAGGTTAAGCTGTTGAGCGGCGTAGCGAACGACGAACGGCCACAGAAAACGGGGTGCACCGGCATGGATCATGGAGGTGCGAGCCACCTCCATGACCAAACCGATGCGTCACTTAACGACCCCATTCTGCTGCGGGGAGTCCGGCAAGGTGAACATCTGGGTGATGCCCTCCGCACGTCAGAAACGACCAAGGACACCAGAGGCAAACTCGCCACCACGGTCGGAGTGGAGACGCAAGACAGGGAGACCGCGGTGGACACGCGCAGAAACAAGCCACGGGATGAAATTGCAGGCACGTCGGCCTTCCGCTCAAGGGGAAACACCGTGGTGTAGCGCGTGTAGTCGTCGATAAGCACTAGGAAGTAGCGCTCTCGACGCAGCCCATGGATGGGGGCGGGGCCCCAGACGTCCATGTGCTGAGTCTGTAGCGGTGTGGCGGTAGGGGGAAACGAGGAGGAGTGAGGGGCACGCCGGAGCCGGCCCTCGACACAGGGCGTGCAAGGTGGGGTTGGGGAGGAGGGAAACTCGGGGAACGACCCGGGGAGGCCTAGGACGACACCGTGCTGTGAGATGTGACGCAGACGCGGGAGCGCAGGGTGACCTAGGCGGTGAGAGAAGGCAGCAGCAACTTGGGTAGACGCAGCCACCTGAGGGGGCATCCCAGCTGGGGGGGTCACGGTGTCCAGTGTGAACAGTCCGGACACCGGGTCCCGGGGGAACGTGATAAGGGGGGCACCAGTGGCGGCCTCGGTACAGATAGTGTACCGCTCGTGACCAGGGAACGTAGTGGTGACGCCAAGATCCTGAAGGCAGCCGACACCAACTAGGTTCCTGGAGAACGAGGGGATGTGTAGTCCTGTGAGCGATCTCGAAGGAACCGCCGGGCAGGGGAGGGTGGTGGAACTTCGGGCAACTACAGGGCCGGAGGAGGGGTCAGCAAGAGAGACTGCGGCACGGATAGGAAGCGGTGTCAACTTGGTGGAGTAGCGGAAGAAGCACCGGAAAGCGCCAGAGTCAAGGGTGAAGGAGAGCGCGGCAGTGGCGGCCGGAGGTGCAGCAGCGACGAAAGCACCAAGGCTAAACAAAGCAGGGGATCCTACGCCTGACGCAGCAGGGGAGGCTAAGCTAGGCACACCTACACTAGGCAACAAGGGGTAATAAGACGGAAGCACACTAGAGTCATCAGCATACATCACATGCAGAGCAGTAACAATCTCATCCATATCCAGATCAAAAATCTGAACCCTTCGATGAAGCAAGCTGTGCCAGTTTGGGAGCTCGGGCGACGGGCCGAAGCGCTGACGAAACAGGTCGTCCAGGCGACAGAAACATCGGACGGAGGTGTGACTGATCTTAGCGCAAACGGAGCCACGACGAGGACCGATCTGGAGCAGGTACTGACAACGCGCGTCACCCGAACCACCACCCGGCAGCCCACCACGCGCACCACCACCACGTCCAGTGCTACCACCAGTGCCAGGCCACCCGGGTGGGAGACCACTCGCCAGTCTCTGCTGCTGCTGCGGCTGCTGTGACTGCTGCGGCTGACGCGAGTCCGGCTGCAACA